AATGATTTGATGGATTATTTAAATGATCATTGTGAAGATTTGACCAATGATGGTTTCGACATATTAATTTGGTGGAAATTGAATGAAAATAAGCACAAGATTGTCTCCCAAATTGCTAAAGACGTGTTAGCCATTCAAATATTTACAGTTGCTTTTGAGTCTATATGTTCTACTAGTTGTTGGATTCTCTATTACTTTAGGAGTTTATTGGGTGCAAAGATGATTGAGACAGTGACTAGCACTAAGAACTGGTTACACAATAACAAATAACCTATAATGATTTGTCAATATTTGGATGTAGTAGAAGCATTGGATAATTCAGGCAAAACCGTAGAAGGTATTGTCGTATTTGATCTTTTTATTCACTTTATTTTATAGATTTTTTACACCATTTAATTGTAATAAATGAATATATTTGTTGTATTCTTATCTATATACAGAGAACGAATCATGTGTTACCACATGAGATGTTGCACCAATTAGTATTGATTAAGAGGTTATAACAAATTGTTGCACTGGATTGAATTATTAGAAGTGAAGAACATTTGTTTATAATATTTGTAATGATACTAATATTTATATTTTAATGTAATATTTAAGATTAATATTTATGATTTAACTTGTTCGATGTACAATTTTTTTGTTAAACTGTGGTTTTAAACCAAACCAAACCGAAAAATGTGATTTGGATTGGTTTGGTTTAAAAATTGAAGTGGTTTAGTTTGATTTGAAAAAAATTCAAACTGTTTCAAGTGGTTTGGTTTGAAAATTTGTTGTAAACTGACCAAATCGAACCGTGTTCACCCTTAATTTATAGATATTCGTGAAAATATAAATATATTATGTCGCAAATAATTTACTTATTATTGGTATAATTCACTGAGCTTTCAGGAAAATAATAATAATAATTCACTGACTTAATCATAATGTTAAGCTTCTTTTCTGTACTTGAATCTCCTAACAATTTTGTCCTATGTCGATTATTATTTTATCTTTTTTTTTTTAATAATTTTCGTTCGACGTGACAGTTATATTTGATAAATATGCCCTTTTGGCTTTTATACAAATATTCAAGTTTTGGTCTCCCATAACAAGTCATTGTTTTGAGCAATTTAATTTCTATATTCAATAGTATGTAATCCGATGCCCTAAATATGATGTAAGAGTTTTTTTGAGAAAAAATAAAATTACATGAAACATTTTTCTACCGACCAGTGTCAAACATATCCATCTTGCATCAAACACACATCGAAAGTTTCTCGATATAAATCGAAACTCAAAATTATTCAATATTTATTTCGGAAAAATGAAACTTGTTTAATCTACATAATTAGCATTGCACGATTAATAAATTATGACCTCATTACCACATTATCATTTCTATAGGAGCTAATACAAATTTTTAAAGTAATTTTCTTAACTTGAATATTGAAAATTAAACA